ACACCCGAAGCACTTGGGTACAGCTGAAGACTTTTCTTTGCCTTCCTTCTGCTTTCTTTCTTTGGCTGGGTAGAGATGATCCACCTCATCTTCACGATCTTCTTCCGAGCTATCCTGGACTCCCTCATGGCGCACGGAGACGGCTTCTGGGTTATTCTTGATAGGCCTCATGTTCTTGACTGCCCCACCTGCTGCCTCTTCTGCAGTGACCTCTCTCAAGGCATCTTGGAATGAAATGAGTCTCTGTTGCAAGTCTCTGTTCCTAAACCCACATACAAATCAGTCTCTCAACCTTTCTTCTAAGTCTTTAAAATCACAAGGCTTAGCTGCTCTTCTCAAGGCTGCAATGTATTCTTTAGCTGATTTACCAGCTCTCTGTTCAAAAGTGTATCTCCACGCAATAACAGACAACTTGGGCTGAAAATGTTCCTTCAATAATTTTTTTAAAACTGTATAAGTTACAGATTCAAGAGGAGCAGGGGCTGCCAAATTTTCAGCAATTTCAAATGCATCTTGACCACAGACACACAGCAAAGTAGCAGCCTTAAAGCCATCTTCTCTTACTTGATTTACTCTAAAGTAATTTTCTACTCTGGCAACATAAGACTCCCATCTTTCTGGGTGCGTGACATCAAATTCAGACAGTGTCCCTATCTTCGCCATTCTTGCTTCTCTGTTAGGAAGGGGTCTATCAGCCAGCTTACCTCCAGCGACGCTGTACTGGCAGGCCAGGTGCTGAGTTTAACGCCGTTTTCCTCTCTCCAGGACTCCTGGGTAAGCTTACAATTATTCTTTTTTGTTTTTGTAAGCTATCCCATCCTCGTCACCAGTGTTGAGTCCTCAAGTCAACCGCGAATGAATACAGCACATTCTGTAATTCCAACAGCCCTTTATTTTAAAGTAGTTCTCTCTGTGTCACAGCTCTGAGGCTCGCAGGCCTCTCTGACTCCTTTAATAGCATCCCCGGGCAAAAAGGTAACATTCTGGCACACTTCCGCGCCTCGCGCATGCGCGCGAAGCCGATGCCACTCAGTCTGGTCCCAGGCAGCTTGCAACTGCCCGGGACCATTGCAATGTCCCGAGCCTGCCTTTGCAGGCTCAGGACACAACAGGTATGCCAGTGATAAATCTCCCAAAAGATTAATAAAATGCCTTCTTGTAATTTAAAGCCACACAGTACATGGTAACATTAATAGTATTAACTTGTTGTTGTTAGTTGCGAAGTTGTGTCCGACCCATTGCAACGCCATGGACAACGTTCCTCCAGGCCTTCCTGTCCTCTACCATCTTCTGGAGTCCATTTAAGCTCACGCCTACTGCTTCAGTGACTCCATCCGGCCACCTCATTCTCTGTCGTCCCACTCTTCCATTGCCCTCAATCTTTCCCAGTATTAGGCTCTTCTCCAGTGAGTCCTTCCTTCTCATTAGGTGGCCAAAGTATTTGAGTTTCAACTTCAGGATCTGGCCTTCTAAAGAGCAGTCGGGGTTGATCTCCTCTAGGACTGACCGGTTGGATCGCCTTGCAGTCCAGGGGACTCGCAGGAGTCTTCTCCAGCCCCATAGTTCAAAGGCCTTAATTCTTTGGCGCTCAGCCTTTCTTATGGTCCAACTTTCACAGCCATATATTGCAACTGGGAAAACCATGGCCTTGACTATACGTACTTTAGTATTAACTTACCTTGAACAAAATCCTAGTCCAGTGGTGGCAAACCTATGGCACGCGGCACTTGGAGACCTCTCTGTGGGCACACGGGCCGTTGTCCCAGCCTTGCCTCCCCCCACAACCCCCTCTTCACCAGCAGCCTCCCTTGAGGAGAGTCACCCCCAAGTGTGGCCCACGTGGAGCAGCGCAGCCAAGGACATGATAGCCAGGCAGCGTAAACAAGACTCTGCCCTCATGCCCCATCGCACACAGTTGATGCTGCGGGGTGTGGGCAGAGGGCCTGGCCGCCATGGCGCTGCTGGGCTGCCTGGGCGATCTGCGGCGGGCCCTGGAGGCGGTAAGTGGCCCTGCGGGCAGGCAGGGTGGGGCGGAGAGGGGGCAGGGCAGGGGTGGAACGGGGGCAGAGAGGAGCCAGTTTTTGGGTACTCGGTCTCTAAAAGGTTCGCCATCACTGTCCTAGTCTTTTAGATACCCTAAAAATTAAATGTTTTTTTTTTTTTTAGAAACTATAAAGGTAAACCTTGTAGGGTAGGCAAGGTGGGTTGTATGACATATGTGAGTTCCGGCAACTTTTTTTTTTTTTACAAAAAAAAGCACTGACAATGCCTCATCAACCTGAACTGGGAAAGGACACATCCAGCTCTGGTTACAGTCAAGCATCTGAGGACAATTAAGTTAACCAGTGCTTTTTTGTAAAAAAAAAAAAAAAAAAACGGAACTCACACACGTTATACAACCTGCCTTGCCTACCCTACAAGATTTCATCCAGAAAAGGTGCCGGAACTCCATTCTGGGCGTTCTATGACAAAAAAAGCCCTAAAGTTAACTAAAATCAACCCTAAATATTAACTACGCATTTGATATTACCTGTGATTTCATAAGCAGTATGGGAAGTGGAGGGAGGGTTGTTACAGTTGGAAAATAGGTTTTGATCGTGGATTCCTTTATAGTTGCCAATACATATCAGATATGTATAAAATTATGCCTGGTCAGTTTTATGGCTTAGCAAGTCATGAGAAGTTAATTGTCCCAAGAACCCACTGGCCTGCTATCCAAAGATTAGTTTGATGAAACAAACAAGAAAGAAAACCAAATGTCCAAACAGGCCTTACTGACTCAGCATGGTGTCCCCACTGAATCAGCATGGACCAGCAGATGCCTTCAAGATGTTCTTAAGGTCAAGCCGGAGAAGGATCTCATCTTGGTGCCTGGAATTTAAAACACATCTCCTGTGAATCCAGCGATTATCAGTTGTGACCAAGAGCTTAACAATCATTTTCTTTCCTTCTTTTAATTGTATCACCATCCACTCCCAAAGTTTCTGCGGGTGGGTGCCAAACTTCATCAGGCAATCCCATCCTAGAGTTTCAACTTTTTATTAGTTTGTTAGTTAAAATATAAAATACAAAAATACAAACAAAGAAAATGAAATTAATGGGAAAATAGGACAGGAGAAGGGATGGAGGACAGGGGAAGGGAAAGAGGAAAAAGTGTAAGGGAAAGGGGGAAAGAAAGGAAAAAACATTAACTTCTTTTTGGTGCAATAGAATAAGTAAATCCCATCCTAATTGCAGAAAATCTTTGACTTGTGATCAGTCATTTAACAACCGTTTGGAATTACAACAGCCTCAGAAAGGGTGCTCTACAACGGAAAAAAACACTTCTGGCCATCGTAAAGTGTCATGTCATCCCCTCCATGGTCACATGACCACATTTTGGGCACTTGGCAACCAGCCCCCATTTAGGACTAGTTGAAGAGTTTCACTGTCACATAACCATGATTTGCAATGTTTTATATTCATATTTTCATTTCAACATTTGCTCTAATCTGGAGTTTACATAGGTATACGTATTTCCTTTTTTGTGTGTGCTTTGTTGCTGCTTGTTTGGTAAACTAATCAAAAATAAAACCAGAAGAAAGGCTTAATTGTTTTTAGGCAAAGTTGAAAAACAAAATCTCCAAATTGAGATTTTCTTAATTTTTTAATGCCATCCATCTCCTTTATAAGGTGACTCTGCACGGCTTACTAGTTATAAGATTCACTGCTGTTTTTTGATAAGCATGTGCCTGATCCTGATTTCCTGGTAGCCTCCCATCCAAGCACTAAGCCTGACCTCGTTAGAGAGTTGGAAATCAACCAGGTTGCTGTCATAAAAGTCATATTATTATGGTCTGCTGTATGGTCAGCCAGATGTTCAGACTGGATTTGGCTTTTTTGTCCACTTTTTGAGACCTTCCCAACAACCTGAGATAGGCAGATGTTACTGTCTGATGGTGTTAAAGGTATCATCGCTGAATGTAAGCTGTCCAGGTAAAGCTGCCTTTTGCAATTGACTGAGAGTGGTTTTCAACGCCGATAATGTTCCACTGGCGCTCCTGATGTTTTGGGATTGCATCCAAGGGACTATTACTATTGGTACTATATTTCCACACAGGGGCCTCATCTGGTTATTAACACTGATGTCTCCCCCCGCTTTTTTGCCAGTCATTCTACTTTTATTTACAGTTCTTTGTATTTTATGATTTTCTCTAGTACTGTGCTTTCTATTCTATTCTAATTCTAATTCTATTCCATCCTCTATCCAACTTTTTGTCTTTCTTATTGCCAAGTCTGAGGTGTTGTGTGGCAAATGCTTTACCTGTTTGAATTGTAAAGCACTTCCTCATTTTCTATTACTTTGTCTATTTTGTGGTCCCACCAGTCCTTGCTTGTAGTTATTATGGTTCATCACACAGTCAGCTTGGATTTCAGTTCAGACTGGATTTGGCACTTTTATCCACCTCTCAAGTCCTTCCCAGGGACCTGCGATAGGCAGGTGTTGATGTTTTATGACTTCAACTCCCAGAATTCCCCAGTCAGCCATGTTGAAGCCCTCACGTCTTAAAGTTGCCAAGGTTGAGAAACCAACCCTTGCAGGATATAAGCTGCCTTTTGCAATTAACTGATAATATTATTATTATCAGCTATGCAAGGCTTGTGAGCTGTACTCAATTCCTGATGCTTATTTCATTCTCTTGCCAAAAGATTCGCCATCATCCTCTTCCAGGATGAATTTCCCAGTTTAGCACTGGGCTTCCCTAAAGGTCTCCTAACCAAGCGTTACACCGGCCTAACTTTATTTGGCTTTTGGATATCAACCAGGAATTGCCACCAGCTGCGGTACGAGGATGCGCACAGCGGCCTCGTCTGGTCATTAACGATGGTGTCCATTAATCCATTTTGTTCTGAACTCCAAAAAACGAAGCAAAAAAAAAGGGCCTTCCGCCACAGTTTCAACGGCCTCGGTTTCCCAGAAACCTTTGCGCCGCCCTACGGCTAACGCGGAGGACTACATTTCCCAAAAACCACCGCGGCGGCCAACGCTGCAGTCGGCGGCCGGCGGCTGAGGGAGGAAGGGCCCAGTGGCCGGGCTGCCATGGCGGGCTCCTGCGCGGAGATTTTGCGGAGGGAGTTCCCGGAACTCGACGGAGAGATGTTCGAATATGTGACCGGTGGGTGAGGCTGAGGCGGGGAAGGATTAGGCCTCTGGGGTCGGCTTGGGCCTCGGTTCTCCGTTCCCAGGGTGGCTGTTCGGCTTCTGAAGAGGGTCGTTAGGCTGCGAGGGCGGTGGAGCCTCCTCAGGCAACTGGAAGGGAAGGAGGGACCGCTCGAACATCGCACGATGGGCTCGGAGGATCACGAGATCTCTTCCCCCCCCCTCCCCAGTACATTGGTACCTCCTGCCTGTATTCTGGCCCTTGTGGTCAGCGGGTCCCTGGACTAGTCCATGCCTAGAAAAGGGGGGGCGCCTTTTGCCAGGGGGACGTGCTTGCTGTCCAGATCAACGAAGATTTGCGCTTTCCAGTACAGGTAGTCCTCGGCTTACGACCAAAACTGAGCCCCAGATTTCTGTTGTTAAGTGAATCAATTGTTAAGTGCCCCATTTTTCGACCTTTCTTGCTATGGTTGTTAAGTGAATCACTGCAGTTAATTACATTAAGAACACGGTTGTTAAGTGAATCTGGTTTCCCCCATTGACTTTGCTTGTTGGAAGGTCGCAAAAGGGGATCACATGACCCCAGGACGCTGCAAGCGTCATAAATAAGAGTTGGTTGCCAAATTTTGATCACGTGACTATGGGGATGCTGCAAAGGGTCGTAAATGTGAAAAACGGTCATAAGTCACTTTTTTCCAGTGCTGTTGTAAGTTCAAATGGTCACTAAACGAACTGCTGTAAGTTGAGGACTAGCTGTATGTAAGGCTGGTTTGGAAGCCCTAAATTGGGCAAAGAGGAGACGGTGAAAGCTCTGTCCAAGCTCTAATCCTGGTCAAAGCACCTTCCTGTTGAGTTCAACTGCTGGCAACTTCTTGCATCCCTTCCTGGGATTTCCTAGTGGTCTCCCATTTAAAGAGTCTTAAGAAATTCCCATTCCTGGGACATTTTTTCCACCTTTAGGAGTATGGGGTGAAATTCAGAGCTTGAGGAAAAAGGGTTGAATCTCAGAGCCTAAAAACTCAATTTAGATGAGTTGATGAAGCAACTTATAAGTCCGTCTTATTTATAGACTTTCCATACCTAAAAAGCAGTCTTTCTCAGCCTTACAACTTTCAGATATGTGGACTTCAACTCCTGGAATTTCCCCAGCTAGCTATGCTGGGGAATTCTGGGATTTGAAGTCCACATATCTTGCCAAGGTTGAGAAACACTGATAGAAAGCAGCATTCTCTAGTTTTTTTTTTTTTTTAAAGTTCTGGAGTTTGGGTGGACTCAATCCCTGCCACCCACCCCCACACCCCTGAGAAGAAAGCAATATTAAACCATTTCACATTTACTTAAAAAAATATAGAGAGATGTTAAGGTGACCAACTTTTTTACAATGAAAAGGAGGACACAAATAAATTGAAGAAAAAATATCGTAAATAAACATTTTATTCATTGCAACAATAATACAGACAACTTGCATGTGCAAAATTTGCCAGCCGGGTGTTTTGGCGCGCTCAGCAGCAATTCCTATTGGCTTTCGAAAGCCAATAGCAGGAGTAGCACAGCTCATGCAAAAGTTGGAAAAAAAAACCATCAAAAAAAGGTGCCAGAATGCCGTTCTGAGCATTCTATGAGGAAAAAAAAAGGCCTACAGATTAGTTTTCAAATATTGAAAAGGAGGACATGAAGGAGGACACTTTTCGAGGGAGGACAGAACTTACAAAAGAAGGACTGTCTTCCCTAAAGGAGGACGGTTGGTTACCTGAGAGATGTCCAGGTGGTCTAGGACAGGGGTAGGCAACCTTGCCTCTTTTACGACTGGTGGTCTTCAACTCCCAGAATTCCTGAGCCAGCATGGTTCAGCTTGGAAACCTCTCCCTTTCCCCTCAGGGTGCCTGGCTGAGGAATTCTGGGAGTTTAAGTCCACGAGTCATAAAAGAGCCAAGGTTGCCTACCCCTGGTCTAGGAGAAAGGTAAGATCAAGTTTGTTTTATACAGGAGCTTTACTCGAGATGATTTCATGGATGTCACTATGAGGTTTTCTTGCCAGCCATACAGAAACGGTTTGATACTACTTTGTTTTGAGATGGTTTTTCAAACTCCCTATCAGCTGTCATATTCCTGCTGGTGTCCCATCCAGATCAGCAGGACCCTGTTAAACAGGCCAGGTCTGATGTCTGCAGTTTGCTCATGGCACAAAATCTTTTATCTCTTAAGTGTTTGTCAGTTTCTCTCACAGCCTGCCCAAAAGGTTTCACGGTAGGAAATTCTGCTGAGAAGTGGAAGATCTGATTCTGATTAGAAGCTTCCCTCCTTTCGACAACTTGTGCAATCCACCCTCCCAACTATCTTGACTGGAAATTGATTTGAAATAGATGTGTGTAAATTGTTGGAAGTCTGTGAGCAAATGGAAAGAGTAAATTTACTGCCAACTTCTCTTTTGCCATCAGTTCTCACAACTCTTTAATGGCTGCTGCTCTCCAGCCCTCTGAAATATGGAGCTAATAGTGCCACATCATTCAATAGGTCATAAATGTGAAATGATTTATATACTCAAAAGCACTGGATAAACGTAAGCAGATATTAGCTGGGTGCTCATAAAGCAAGTCCAATATCTTATTCCAGAGTAGATGTTCTCGTGTATTTTTAGCCTGTGACCTCTGTAAGAAAAATGTAAGCACCAATGTGAAAAGCTCATATATTATAATAGAAGAAATACTATATAAAAAAAGAGTATATGTGTGTTTTCAAAGAGCATTGTTTCCTAATTTTTGCTGCCTCTATATTTTTAGCTGTCGATCTCAACTAAGTATTTGGCGGATTTCTTTTCATGTTTCATTTTCACCATATTTCAGTAATTGTTTTCACTGAAGCAAGTCTTATTTCGATTAGGTTTTTGTTGAATTGAATTCAGGGTACTTAAAGCTCTGAGTTACCGCTTTTTGTTTCAAGACATGTGTTCTGCTCTTCCAGGCCTGGCATTTGGGAAAGATACAACCCTTTCCCTCTGCTTCTTATTTCCCTTCCAAAGTTTTAATTGTGATTCATTCTGGCAAGGCATTGCAGGGTATGGCTCAGCCAAGGCCTGGTGTAACTCCATAAATAAGCTGCAAGGTGCACCATTTTGTATTTCAGTAGAAGACAACACACCTAGCTAAACTTTGGCAGAACCAACAGCCTACACATAGTCAGACTTGTTTAATACCCCTTTACAATGCCTTGGTAAGGCCACACTTGCAATACTGCATCCAGTTTTGGTCACCACAATGTAAAAAAGATGTTGAGACTCTAGAAAGAGTACAGAGAAGAGCAACAAAGATGATTAGGGGACTGGAGGCTAAAGCATATAAGGAACAGCTGCTGGAATTGGGAATGTCTAGTTTAAGGAAGAGAAAGACGAGGTGGGACAGGATAGCAGTGTTCCAGTATCTCAGGGGCTGCCCCAAAGAAGAGGGAGTCAAACTATTCTCCAAAGTGCCTGAAGGCAAAACAAGAAGCAACAGATGGAAATTAATCAAGGAGAGAAGCAACCTAGAACTAAGGAGAAACTTCCTGACAGTGAGAACAATTAACCAGTGGAACAACCTGCCTCCAGAAGCGGTGAATGCTCCAACCCTACAAGTTTTCAAGAAGAGACTGGACAGCCATTTGTCTGAAATGGTATAGGGCAGGGGTAGGCAACCTTGGCTCTTTTGTGACTCGTGGACTTCAACTCCCAGAATTGAAGTCCACGAGTCATAAAAGAGCCAAGGTTGCCTACCCCTGGTATATGGTTTCCTGCCTGAGCAGGGGGTTGGACTAGATGATCTCCAAGGTCCCTTCCAACTTATTATTATTGTTGTTGTTGTTTTGTTGTTATTGCTATTACTATTATATAACTTTGGGTTAAATAACTATATTAGCTTCTGTTTCATTTTCAGTATTGTAATTCAAATCTGCACTACAGGTAGTTCTCGAATTACAACAGTTGATTTAGTGACTGTTCGAAGTTACAACGGCACTGGGGAAAGTGACCTTTTTTCACACTTAACGACCATTGCAGCATCCCCATGATTCCGTGATTAAAATTCAGATGCTTGGAAACTGGCTCGTATTTATGATGGTTGGAGTGTCTTACGACCTTCTGACAAGCAAAGTCAATGGGGAAGCCAAATTCAAGCTAAAATGAGATTCTTTCCCTCTTCCAAGCATTTTGCTAGCTAAGCCTCTAAAACAGTGGTCTTAAACCTGGACAACTTTAGGAAGTGTGTACTTCAGCTCTCTGAATTCCTCAGCCTGTACGCCTTTGGGTCTCAGCCTTGCATTAACAGTTGTTGTTGTTTTTCTTGGCAGGGGTCCTGCACAGTGGCAGCTCAGATTTTGAGACGGTGGACGATCTATTTGAAGCCGTCGGTGAGCTCTTGCAAGACGTGTCCCGAGACTCGAAAGATGACATGGACATCCGTGCAATCTGCCAGCGTATGTTCAACACCCTTCATCTGTAAGTTACCTCTGATTAAAAGGCGTTCATGAAGAACAGAACAGATAAGCTTTCATTTTCGATGATGATGTAATATGTAAAGCAGCCACTAGAAGTCCAGAATCCGCCAAGACCATTTGGGAAGAACTTTAGAATCCAAGCCACATTTACATATTATAGCAATAGCATTTAGGCTCATATGCCACCCCGTAGCACTTTACAGCGCTGTCTGGGCGGTTTAGAATATAAGCATTATTTGCCTATTTCCCCCAACCAATCTGGATCCTCATTTTGCCAATCTTGGAACGACTGAAGGCCGAGTCAACCTTGAGCTGGTCAGGATTGAACTGCAGGCCGTGGGCAGAGTTTACCTGCAATACTGCACTTCAATCACTGTGTCACCAGGGCTTATTTTAATTTATGTACCAAGGAAACCAGGATACCCATTATGACTGCAGAAGCCTCCCTGAATGCAAGAGAGGTTTACAACGATGGGATGAGGAGCTGGGGGGAAAATCTGGAGTGTCGTTAAGTAACAAGTCTTGTATCTGGACAGGGACAACGAAAACTCTCCGAGCAGCCGGCAGGTTCTCCTGGATGCCCCAATTCAGCTTTCTAAGATCGCTGACAATTATGGTGAGTAGTGTAGCAGTGAAGCCTCTTGCATTTACATGGCTCAGAATGGATGAACTATGTGGGTCCTATTCATTTCTTTACCTATACCAGGGGTAGGCAACCTTGGCTCTTTTATGTCTCGTGGACTTCAACTCCCAGAATTCCTGAGCCAGCCATGCTGAGGGGAAAGCGAGAGGTTTCCAAGCTGAGCCATGCTGGCTCAGGAATTCTGGGAGTTGAAGTCCACGAGTCATAAAAGAATAAGGTTGCCTACCCTTGCCCCAGGAGGTCCATTTTCAAATGGTAGCTAAGTGATGGTTTATGAGTAGTGGACGACCTGTATGCACATTGTACAGGTAGCCTTTTGATTTACAACCACAACTGTGCCCAAAATTTCTATGGCTGAGACATTTGCTAAGTGAATTTTGCCCCATTTTACGACCTTTCTTGACACTGTTAAGTGAGCCACTAAAGGCTGCCAAATAAATCTTGAGGGGGGGGGAGGAAATAAGGTAATCCTTAACTTATGATCACATTTAAGCTTGGAATTTCGATTGTAAGTCATTGCAGTTATAAGTTGAGTCATGTGTGACGACTTGATTTTACAACTGTTTTTATGAAAAGCAAGTTCTGGAAACAACAAGAATTATAAGCGGTGGGAGAAGCAGGGGAGGATTTTACACAGATTTTGAAACACACACCAACCCACACACACACATATGCTTGATGTGGCTGCCATGTTCCAGCATGCCAAACCTAGAAATATCAAGGTAAGACAGAGTAGGGTGACCTGTTAAATATCTGATGTGATAAACGCATCAGTAAGTTAATGTTTCCATATTTATTGCCTGTGAAGTGTTTCTCAACCTTGGCCACTTGAAGACGTCTGGATTTCAATTCCCAGAATTCTGCAGGGCTGGCTGGGAAATTCTGGGACTTGAAATCCAGATGTCTTTAAACGGCCAAGGTTGAGGAAACACTGTCATATGCATTTTCTTATAGACCAGTGGTTCTCAACCTGTGGGTCGGGACCCCATTTGGGGTCAAACGACCATTTCACGGGGGTCGCCAAACAACGCAGTCCGCCATTTTTCCCCCCTTTTCCTTAGCTGTGCTACTCCCTTTTATTCTATTGGCTTTTGAAAGCCAATAGAATAGACTCTCTTGAATAGAGTCTAATTCTATTGGCTTTCAAAAGCCAATAGGAATTGTCCAGGCTGTCTCTGCCTTGCTGAGCCCGCCAAAAGCCCCAGTCTGCAAATGGTGCTGCACCAGTTCAGTAGTCCTGGACTTACGACCGGTTGAGTAGTCCTTGACTTACGACCGGTTGGGGGGTCGCAGCATTAAAAAGGTTGAGAACCGCTGTTCTAGAATAAGCGGGAAAAGGATCTGAACTCATGCTGGGATTCTTGAAGCAAGCATCTTTATTTATTTATTTATTGTCGGTTGCAGATTCTAACTTGGACTTGTTGCCGGGACTGCTGTTGAAGAGAGATCAGAGCTCGGTAAGGGTACCACCACGACAGTTTTTGTTACTATTGATCCCTAACCATTGAGTCTGTGTAGGTTTCAAAGCTGAATCTCTCACTCTCTGGAACATGGTGGAGAACCTCTTAGTTGCACCAGCTAATACTGGTTCCTACTGTGGGATGCTGGGAGCTCCAAAACCCTCTGGAGATGCACCAGCTCCCAATACTTGCTGTGGGGCTCCAGGTAAACAGCTTATTTTTGCTGTCGTGCTTTGGCCTCTTTATCCACAGAAACAGAATTTAGTTGCGTCGTCATCCTTGTAATCACAGTACAGGTGGAGGCCCGCCCCCCCCAAAACACCCCCCCAAACAACCCCCAAATCAAACTCCTTGTAATAAGAGCAGACCAAATGCAGGTAGTCCTCGACTTACGACCACAACTGAGCCCCAACATTTCTGTTGCTAAGTGAGACAGTTGTTAAAATGAGTTTGGCCGCATTTTGTCACCGTTTCTTGCCACAGTTGTGAAGTGAATCTGGCTTTCCCCCATTGGCTTGTCAGGGGGTCGCAAAAGGTGATCACATGACCCCTCAGGACGCTGCAACCGTCGTAAATGGCCAAGCGTGGGAGTTTTGATCACGTGACTGCAGGCGTGGTGCAATGGTTGTGAGCGTGAGAAAAGGTCACGAGCCACTTTGTTCAGTGCCGTTGTAACTTCAAACAGCCGCTAAGCGAACGGTTGTAAGTCGAGGACTACCTGTCACCTGCTTATCCTCTTCTTTTAACGTCCCCTCACATCCTCTGTCTGGCTGCTGGTGGGTATCTCTGCTATTCGCTTTTGCTGTCCTTCTCCTTGCTTTGCAGATGGTGAATGCCAAAAAGTTGGAGAAAGCCGAGGCCCGCCTTAAAGCGAAGCAGTGCAAGAAGCAGGAGCGAGATTCCGTCAAATCTGGGAGCCCATTGTGAGTGAAGAGCGGTCATCTTTGAACGGGGCCCCTGTCTCTGAACATTGGGAGGATCTGCCAAGAACTAATTGCAGCAGATTCAACTTCTTAATGCCCAGGTCTTTCCACTGCTTAGGGGGAAGGAGATATAGAAGACTAGGATGTGGCTGATATAAAAGAGGATAGAGTAGAGTAGAGTAGAATAGGGAATAGAATAAAATAAACAATAGGGAATAGAATAGAATAAGCAACAGAATAGAGTAGAATAAGCAGTAGGCAATAGAATAGAAATAGAGTGGAATGGAATGGAATAGAATAGAATATATGGAATAGAATAGAATAGAATAGAATACTGTATATGGAATGGAATAGAATAGAATATATGGAATGGAATGGAATAGAATAGAATAGAATACTGTATATGGAATGGAATAGAATAGAATATATGGAATGGAATAGAATAGAATATATGGAATGGAATAGAATAGAATATATGGAATGGAATAGAATAGAATAGAATACTGTATAGGAATGGAATGGAATGGAATAGAATAGAATAGAATATATGGAATGGAATAGAATAGAATATATGGAATGGAATAGAAGAATAGAATACTGTATATGGAATGGAATAGAATAGAATATATGGAATGGAATAGAATAGAATACTGTATATGGAATGGAATAGAATAGAATATATGGAATGGAATGAATAGAATAGAATAGAATAGAATACTAGTATATGGAATGGAATAGAATAGAATATATGGAATGGAATGGAATAGAATAGAATAGAATACTGTATATGGAATGGAATAGAATAGAATATATGGAATGGAATGGAATAGAATAGAATAGAATACTGTATATGGAATGGAATAGAATAGAATATATGGAATGGAATAGAATAGAATAGAATACTGTATATGGAATGGAATAGAATAGAATATATGGAATGGAATAGAATAGTATATGGAATGGAATAGAATAGAATATATGGAATGGAATAGAATAGAATAGAATACTGTATATGGAATGGAATAGAATAGAATATATGGAATGGAATAGAATAGAATAGAATAGAATAGAATAGAATACTGTATATGGAATAGAATAGAATATATGGAATGGAATGGAATAGAATAGAATAGAATACTGTATATGGAATGGAATAGAATAGAATATATGGAATGGAATAGAATAGAATAGAATACTGTATATGGAATGGAATAGAATAGAATATATGGAATGGAATAGAATAGAATAGAATAGAATAGAATAGAATAGAATACTGTATATGGAATGGAATAGAATAGAATATATGGAATGGAATGGAATAGAATAGAATACTGTATATGGAATGGAATAGAATAGAATATATGGAATGGAATAGATTAGAATATATGGAATGGAATAGAATAGAATAGAATACTGTATATGGAATGGAATAGAATAGAATAGAATACTGTAAATGGAATGCAATGGAATAGAATAGAATACTGTATATGAAATGGAATAGAATAGAGTAGAGTAGAATAGAATACTGTATATGGAATGGAATAGAATAGAATATATAGAATAGAATAGAATAGAATAGAATAGAATAGAATAGAATAGAATAGAATAGAATAGAATAGAATAGAATAGAATAGAAGCTGGAAGGGACCTTGGAGGTCTTCTAGTTCAGCCCCCTGCTCAAGCATACCGTTTCAGATAAGTGACTGGTCTGGTCTGGTCTGGTTTGGTCCTTTCTTAAAACCTCCAGTGATGGAGCACCCACAATTTCTGGAGGCAGGCTGTTCCACTGGTTAATAGTCCTCACTGTTAGGAACTTTCTCCTTAATTCCAGGTTGCTTCTCTCTTTGTTCAGTTTCCAACCATTGTTTTTTATCCTGCCCTCTGGTGCTTTGATGAATAACATGACCCCCCTCTTCTTGGTGGCAACCCCTCAAATACTGGAACGCTGCTATCACGTCACCCCTATTTCTTCTTTTCTTTAGACTAGCCAAACCCAAGTCCCGCAGCCGTTCTTCGTATGTTTTAGTCTCCAGGCCTTGGGTCACCTTAGTTGCTCTTCTCTGAACTTTTTCCAAATAGACCCTCTCCTCATTTAGCAACCCTGTTCCCGTCAAATAAAATTGAACAGGACTTTGGCATCAATCTTAATCCGAGGCCTGGGGCTACAGCCAGGTTTTGATGGATTTCCTGTACTTCATCAGACTATACACCATATAAATTTCCGGGTGGGGGGCGTTGTTCCAGGGGGCGGGCACCATGACCCAGAAGGTGCACTTTCAAGGTCTCTCTAGATCAGTGGTTCTCAACCTTTCTAATGCCGCGACCCCATAATACAGTTCCCCATGTTGTGGTGACCCCCAACCACTTATACATCACCGGGTGTCAGGGGCGTGGCCAAAGAAAAGGGGGAAAAATGGCGGACAGCCTTGTTTGGCGACCCCCGTGAAATGGTCGTTCGACCCCAAATGGGGTCCCGACCCACAGGTTGAGAACCACTGCTCTAGATGATGTCATTGAATTGAAGGGAGCAGAGAGCAACTACCCTCCAATAGAAGACAAGTTCTGTAGCTCAGTGTTGGTGTGTGGAATCCTTGTTGCTGTCTGAGCTTGGTTGTGACCAATACCCAGATAAGCAAGGATTAATATTTAGACCAGGGGTGGGCAACCTTGGCTCTTTTATGACTCGTGGACGTCAACTCCCAGAATTCCTGAGCCAGCATGGTTCAGCTTGGAAACCTCTCCCTTTCCCCTCAGCATGGCTGGCTCAGGAATTCTGGGAGTTGAAGTCCACGAGTCATAAAAGAGCCAAGGTTGACTACCCCTGACCAAATGCCTGAATTTTGATCACGTGACTGTGAGGAAAAATATTTAAATATTTAAATCAGGGGTCTTCAAACTTGGCTCTTTTATGACTCGTGGACTTCAACTCCCAGAATTCCTGAGCCAGCCTGGCTCAGCTTGGAAACTCTCCCTTTCCCCTCAGCATGGCTGGCTCAGGAATTCTGGGAGTTGAAGTCCACGAGTCATGAAGTGGCCTAGGCCTAGGCCAGAGATAGGCAACCTTGGCTCTTTTATGACTCGTGGACTTCAACTCCCAGAATTCCTGAGCCAGCCTGGCTCCGCTTGGAAACCTCTCTCTTTCCCCTCAGCATGGCTGGCTCAGGAATTCTGGGAGTTGAAGTCCACGAGTCATAAAAGAGCCACGGTTGCCTGCCCCTGATTTAGACAAAACAGTCCAAGAAGGAAGCAATTCTCTAATCAAGGCACTACCAAGGGGAAAAAAAAGCATACCATCCCCCAACATTGACAGGGCAAGTTACTAGCACTGATGATGTTACATGTTGGGGATCGAAACGTCTGCCAGCAAACAGTCGAGCTCAGAGAGAGCAACAAGGATTCCCCAGCACCCATTCTGCTTGACCATCAGGATCGGCAGAAACTATTGGGAGATCAGCAATTCCTCAGATAAGCTAGGCAGCTTTCTAGGTCAGTGGTTCTCAACCTGTGGGTCGGGGCCCCATTTGGGGTCGAATGACCATTTCACGGGGGTCGCCAAACAACGCAGTCCGCCATTTTTTTTCCCCTTTTCCTTAGCTGTGCTACTCCCTTTTATTCTATTGGCTTTTGAAAGCCAATAGAATAGACTCTCTTGAATAGAGTCTAATTCTATTGGCTTTCAAAAGCCAATAGGAATTGTCCAGGCTGTCTCTGCCCTGCTGAGCCCGCCAAAAGTCCCATTCTGCAAACGGTGCTGCACCAGTTGAGTAGTCCTCGACTTACGACCGGTGGAGTAGTCCTCGACTTACGACCGGTTGGGGGTCGCGGCATTAAAAAGGTTGAGAACCACTGTTCTAGGTGGTAAACAGTGGTTTGAATTGCACCTGGGCGCCAGCTAACAATATCTGCAGTTTGCAGAACAATAGGAGTTAGGTCAGCATCCCAAGCGTGCCCATTAATGAATTTACCTGTGTTTCCCCAAAAGTAAGGCCTACCCTGAAAATAAGCTTTAGCTTGATTTTTGGGAGTGGGCCTAATATAAGCCCTGCCCAAAAAAATAAGCCCTAGTTTTGGGGCAAGGCACAAACCTAAAAATCAAGCTAGGGCAGGAATGAGAGGTTGGAGCTTACCATTGCAGCCATGCCTCCCATGGATCAACACTGATCAACACAAGATCACGTGAAGTATTAATACCACTTTACAATGCCTTGGTAAGGCCACATTGGAATACTGCATCCAGTTTTGGTCACCACGATGTAAAAAAAGATGCTGAGACTCTAGAAAGAGTACAGAGAAGAGCAACAAAGATGATCAGGGGACTGGAGGCTAAAGCATATAAGGAACGGTTGCTGGAATTGGGTAAGTCTAGTTTAATGAAGAGAAGGAAGAGGGGGGACATGATAGCAGTGCTCCAATATCTCAGGGGCTGCCCCAAAGAAGAGAGAGTCAAGCTATTCTCCAAAGCGCCTGAAGGCAGGACAAGAAGCAACAGATGGAAACTAACCATCTCTTAGGTTTATAAAACCTAACCCCTGGATGATTGTCTTTGTACTGTTGTTTTGTTATGTTTATGTGTTTTTTATTGTTAGCTGCCCAGAGTCCTTCGGGGGTGGGGCGGCTTATAAATTTTAAAAATAAATAAATAAATAAATAATCAAGGAGAGAAGCAACCTAGAACTAAGGAGAAACTTCCTGACAGTTAGAAGAATTAACCAGTGGAACAACCTGCCTCCAGAAGCGGTAAATGCTCCAACACTGGAAGTTTTAAAGAAGAGACTGGTATAGGGTTTCCTGTCTGAGCAGGGGGTTGGACTAGATGATCTTCAAGGTCCCTTCCAACATTATTATTATTGTTGTTGTTATTATTATTATTATTATGGATCATCCCACAGTCAGCTAGATGTTCAGACTGGATTTGGCATTTTGTCTACCTATCGAGTCCTTACCTAGGACCTGGGATAGGCAGATGTGGATGTTTGATGGTATTACAGATATCGTTGCAGGATGGAAGCAGTTCCTAGTAAGGCCGCCTTTTGCAATTGACTAATAGCGAATTTGTCAATGCCAATGGTGTTCAAGTGGTGCTCCAGTTGTTTTGGGATTGCACCCAAGGAGCCTATGACTATTGGTACTACCCTTGCTTCTGGAAAGGGCTCTGTAGTTGAGAACCGAGCTACGGATTGAATCCATAGCTTGGTTTTCAGCTGCAGAGGCCTTGCACAAAGGCTTCTGACTGAAAAATGCAGGCCGGAACTCCATTCTCAGCTGCAGAATGAAGCTGCTCCTTCGGCTGCAGAAAAAGTTGGCTGGCGGGGCAAGTAATGATGATGATCATGATGATGGAACACGTGTTCTGCCTTGTCTTCATGGTTGTTTCCAATTTTGTTCTGGTTGTGCCAGGGTTCTGGAAGAAGCATCCGCCAGCCAAGCTGCCAGTAAGAAAGAGAACCGCCTAGAACTGTCAGGCAAGAACAAGTCCTACGACGTACGCATCGAAAACTTTGACGTGTCCTTCGGTGAGCGGTGAGTCTCCACGTTCAAAGAGTCGTGCTCTGTAGCACCTTTTGATTTGGCAATTTAGACTTGTTGGAGCGTAGCCCCGTAAGCGAACTGGTGGTTAAACACCTGGCTTACGCCTAGTAAGCTGACTTGTGGTTACACCAACCCAAACTTCATGGCAGAGGAAAGACGTTAGTATTTCTGTTGAACAGAGCTGAGTATCGGATAGGATTAACGCCGGATTTTGAAAAAAACATTTATTTATTTAAAATTACAATAAGCGTTTAGGTCAGGGGTAGGCAACCTTGGCTCTTTTATGACTGGTGGACTTCAACTCCCAGAATTCCTGAGCCAGCATGGCTCAGCTTGGAAACCTCTCCCTTTCCCCTCAGCGTGGCTGGCTCAGGCATTCTGGGAGTTGAAGTTCACGAGTTGAAGGCCAAGGTTGCCTACCCCTGGCCTAGGCCTGTATTTTTCAACCTTGGCCACTCGGAGATGGGTAGACTTCAACTCCCAGAATTCCTGAGCCAGCATGGGGGAACTATGGCCCCTTCATGACTCCTGGACTTCAACTCCCAGAATTCCTGAGCCAGCATGGGGGAACTGTGGCCCCTTCATGACTCGTGGACTTCAACTCCCAGAATTCCTGAGCCAGCATGGGGAAACTGTGGCCCCTTCATGACTTGCGGACTTCAACTCCCAGAATTCCTGAGCCAGCATGGCTCAGCTTGGAAACCTCTCCCTTTCCCCTCAGCATGGCTGGCTCAGGAATTCTGGGAGTTGAAGTCCACGAGTTGAAGGCCAAGGTTAGGGTTAGGGTTAGGGTTAGGGTTAGGGTTAGGAAGGAACAAACGAGAGAGGGTGGAGCCCCCAGTGGCTTAATGGTCAGAGAAAGGAACTAAGGAAAGACCCACCCTGATGGATCAGGCAATTAAAAAAACAGTAGTCCTCAAATTACAACAGTTGATTTAGTGACTGTTTGAAGTTACGACGGCACTGGAAAAAAAGTGACGTAGGACCGTTTTTCACACTTAACGACCACTGCAGCATCCCCACGATCCGAATTCAGACCCTTGGCAACTGGTTCATACTTACGACGGTTGCAGTGTCCCGGGGTCTTACGACCTCCTGACAAGCAAAGCCAATGGGGAATTCAGAGTCTTGTCTGCGCTGCCTGGCTGTCATATCCTTGGCTGCGCTGCTCCGTGTGGGTCACGCTTGGGGGAACGGCTGGAGAGGAGGGAGTCATGGCGGGAGATGAGGCTAGGGCAACGGCACATGAGAGGGCTCCGAGTGCCGCTTCTGGCACCCGTGCCATAGGTTCGCCACCACTGGGTTAAGGTCTTATGCAGCCTCTCCTTATTACTGTTATCTCAGCACAACACTTGGTGATGAATCACAAGAAAATGGCCATTCACCCATAAATTCCCATTTAATTATATTAAATGTGTGTTGTGTATGTGTACACTTTGAGAGGAAGCAACTAAATTTCACTTTTAATGTGTGCCGTTGTGCCCGCAGGAAAAAATGACAATAAAGGTTCTCTCTCTCTCTCTCTCTCTCTCTCTCTCTCTCTCTCTCTCTCTCTCTCTCTCTCTCTCTCTCTCTCTCTCTCTCTCTCTCTCTCTCTCTTCTGTCTATCTATCTATCTATCTAGGTTCGCCACCACTATATTCTTGCAATTGTAACTCTGTCCATCCGGCCCAGGTGCAGTTGTCACCTCACCTGGCACAAATGAGGTTTCTAAAGATGGGTCTCAAAAACATCCCCGTTGTTTTATGCACAGTATACAGTTCTCCTTTCCTTTCTTCTCCTCCAGGGTCCTCCTCACAGGAGCAGACCTGAACCTGGCCTATGGCCGGCGATACGGCTTGGTAGGTCGGAACGGGTTAGGCAAGACCACCTTGCTGAAGATGATCGCCAGCCGCAATCTGCGCATCCCCTCGCATATCAGCATTCTTCACGTGGAGCAGGAGGTGGCCGGGGACGAGACACCGGCCCTGCAGAGCGTGCTGGAATGTGACATGGTTCGCGAGGGGCTGCTGAAGGAGGAGAAGGAGCTGACCGCCCGGGTTAACTCCGGAAGGTAACCTTGTTCCCCAAGGAAGGCTGTCTTAATTCAGATGCTAGTTTGGCCACCTACAAACTACCATGCTGCTTTTCTGTCTTTTTTTTTTTTTTTCCAGAGGAATAGGCACAGAAGGGGCTCGACTGTCCGAAATCTACGCCAGGCTAGAAGAGATTGAGGCAGACAAGGCCCCAGCAAGGTAAAATGAAACTCTGTAGGAGCAGAATCGGTTCTGAATCGACAGGCTCGGTAGTCGATGAATTCTGGCAAAACGGCTGACTTGCAAAAGATCCAGGTCTAAAATAGCGAATCCTGATGCCTACGAATCTGTAGATAACATGTGGGTGGGGAAAAGGCCATTTTTCCCTCAACTGAAAGCAACACATTTCCACCAAGGACTCAAATTTCCTAAATTCCGAGTGAAAATTGGCTTCTCGGGTTCTCTAAAGCAGAGGTCCCCAACCTTTTGGGCATTAGGGACCGGTTCCGTGGAAAGAGGTTTTTCCGCGAACCGGAGGGTGCGTGGTTTTGTGTGCTGCCTGCATCCCCCAGCTCTACATCATTCGCGTCAAGGGTACCTGTGGGGGCCTGGGCAGGAGTGGGACAGATCTGGGGGTGTCTGGCAGAAGGGGGTGGGACTGGGGCAAGCGCCAAGGCATGGTCCATTTCTTCATTCCTCACAAAGGGGGACACTTCCCCAGCGAGCACCCAGGGGGCGGGGCCGACGGGGCAGGGGCTGGTTCCTCACTGTTTCCAGACGGCCTTGTAGAGCTAAGACTGAATGCCTTTCAGCATAGATGGCCACCCCAAAATTGCACATTGGCTCCCAGCCGGCCTGGGCCAGGGCCAAGGCAGCAGGGGCCGTTCTCTCATTGTTTCCAGGATGGCTTCATGGGCCACATGAAACCACTTTGCGGGCTGCATCCGGTCCCCGGGCCTAGTGTTTGATACGTCTGCTGTAGATTTTACTCTGCTACCGTGTCTCCCTAAAATAAGACCCAGTCTTTTTGTGTGTGTGTTTGCCTCCAAAAGAAGCACCAGGTCTTATTTTGGGGGGGGGGAGTCTTTTCTACTCACCTCCGGCACCAACAGCCCCCACCCAGCCGGCCCACTTCTTTCTGCAGCTGAGAATGGAGCTCCGGCCTGCATTTCAGAGTCAAAGTCCTTTCCAGAAGGCTAGGTCTTACTTTTGGGAAAACACGGTACAGTTGCCGACTACAGGGGATGATGCTCACCTCCATTTTAAGGCCATTGAGCCAGTGCTACCCGAAGACATTTCCACGGTCAGGCAGCCAGCATAATGTCGCGGAGCACCGTTACCTTCCCACCAAAGTGGTACCTATTTATCTACTCGCATTTCCATGCTTTCAAACTGCTAGGTTGGCAGGAGCTGAGGTGAGGACGGGAGCTTACCCCATCGCAGGACGCTCGAGTCTCAAACTTGGGCTGCCAGCTTTCCAGCTGATAAACCCAGCATCGTAACCCCTGAGCTACCAGGTCGCCCTTTGTCATACAGCATCACAGTCTCGTTTGGAAGCATCCCTGCTTCAGATAGGAAGGCGGTGCAGAGAGTGGTGAGGATGGCCGAAAAGATCATTGGCAGTTCCCTCCTTCCCATCCAGGACATAGCACAGAAGCGTTGCTTGAGGAGGGTCCGTAAGATTATCTGGGACACGACACATCCTCTTCACGACCTGTTTTCCTTGTTCCCTTCTGGGCGGAGGCTTCGTGGTATCCGTAGCAGAACATCCAGATTCAGCCATAGTTTTATTCCATACAGCATTAACCTTGCGAACTCACAAGCTTCCTCCTTCCGCTATGTATTCAAGATGGACAGTACTTAATATTTATTTTGTTACGTATATGTAGGGGTGTGGGTCTATACATAAGTTGTACATAGTATGTTTTAGGTGTGTGTCAGGTATGTGTTTCACTTTGAGAGCAGGCAACTAAATTTCATTTTTGACGTGTGCCGTTCTGCCCACAGTAAAAAAATGACAATAAAGCTTATCTTATCTTGTGGCTAGTGCCCTTACCTAACTACTCCTACTTCCAATCGATTCTTATTCCGAGTTCAGATGCCACTGCCTTCCTAAAACCTTCCGGAGTCTCTTTTCAGACACATCCAGAGTTAGCTTCTAGTCCAGATTCTGGGATCTATAAATCACCTTTCCTTTCTTTTCCTCCTACAGAGCGTCCGTTATCCTGGCTGGGTTGGGTTTCAGCGCAAAGATGCAGCAACAGACCACCAAGTAAGTGGGCTTTAGCCAAGACTGAATTTTTTCCCTTCTGTGATTTGAACTATGGGATCCTAGATTTTTTTTTTTTTCTTTTTGATCTTGCCTACTGCTAGGTGCTGGGACAGAGGGGCGCTTCCAGAGATAGGAAGCTTGGTAGCTGTCCCTTCACATTACAATTGTGATAGAATTGGGGAAGTGAACTTGGCCATCTCTGACACCAGCCCTTGAAAAATGTAAGGCGACCTTCCATATCTACAGGCAAACTGGGGTCCGGCTGGCCCAGGGGAACTGACCTCTCCTTTATTCCTTCTCCTTAGAGAGTTTTCTGGAGGTTGGAGAATGAGGCTGGCTTTGGCTCGCGCCCTTTTCGCCCGGTGAGTCTCAAGGATCTCCGTTCCGCTCAAAATCCTTTTTTTCCGGAAAATGGGTAGATAGTAACAGTGGGGGAGTCAAAAGTCAGTTGAGGTCTTAATCCTGATTAGCTGTGTTGAAGGATCTAAGGCAGGGGTGTCAAACTCAATTTCATGGAGGGCCGCATCAGCATTGCGGTTGCCCTTGGGGGGCCCGGTGAGTGTGGCCAGGGTGGGTGCGGCCTACTGGGTGGGCGTGGATGGAGTGGGTATGGCCTACTGGGTGGGCATGGCCAGCTCTACATCGTTCGCGTCAAGGGTGCCTGTGGGTCTCTGGCAGAAGGGGGTGGGACCGGGCAAGCGCCAAGGCATGGTCCATTTCTTCAGTCCTCACAAAGGGTAACACCTGCCCAGCATGCACCCAGGGGGGCGGGGACGATGCAGCAGAGGCTGGTTCCTCGCTGTTTCTGGACGGCCTTGTGGAGCTAAGATTAAATGTGTTTCAGCATAGATGGCCACCACAAAATTGTACATTGACTCCTGGCCGGCCTGGGCCAGGGCCAAGGCAGCGGGGGCCGTTCCCTCACTGTTTCCAGCATGGCTTTGCAGGCCGCATCCGGCCCCCAGACCTTGTGTTTGACATGTCTAATCTAGAAACAGGCAAGGATACCCGACTGCGTGGGGGGGAGAGATGAGAGTACTGGTCATCCTTGCCTTAGCAACCATTCGTTTAGCGACCAAAGTAACAAAGTCTTAAATACAGGCCAGTTGCCAAGCGCCTGAATTTTGATCACGTGGCCATGGGAATACTGCAGAGATCATGTCTATCTAGATTCTCAGTCATCCAGGTCACGGTTGTCCCAGTGGTGCTTTTCAAGGAGGCAACTGGACTTTCTTTGTTTTTTTCTTTGAAGACGTTTCGCTTCTCATCCCAGAAGCTGCTTCAGCTCTGATTGAACGGCAGGGAATGGAAGGATTTACATTCCTTCAAGTCATCTGGCTGTTAGTGCTCTCTCTGAGAATCGTTGAGGCCACTCGGAGGTTTATGTGCGTCCTCGGAGGCTCCTTAATTCCAGGTTGTTTCATGCCTTGATTGATTTCAGCAGAGCTGAAGAAGTTTCTTGGATGAGAAGCCGAAACATCTTCAAAGAAAAATAAGGAAGTCCAGTTGCCTCGTGGGAAAAAAAACATCTTTGGGCCATACGTCACTTTTAGCAGCGCCATTGTAACTTTGAGCAGTCTCTAAACAAATGGTTGTAAGCCGAGGACTAACCCGTAGGTGTTTTGTGCACAAAAGATACATATCAGTTGGGGATAATTACAGTATTTTAAGTTTTTTCCAGAATTTAAAGGACAAAAAGAAAAAGAATGCTTCAATCAGAGAGCCCATTCTCCTGAGAAATTGGAAACTTTATATATACATATATATACGTGTATATATGTATGTATGTGTGTATATATATGTATATATATACACACACGTGTGTGTGTGTGTGTGTGTGTGTGTGTGTGTGTGTGTGTGTGTGTGTGTAGGTCTTTGGTCATTCGGGTTTTCTCCTGCGTCAAATAGGAAGTGTCTTGGCGACGTTTCGACGAAGTCTCATTCGTCATCTTCAGGCTGGTGTTTTCGGCTTCGTGCTCCTAGAAGCACGAAGCCGAAAACACCAGCCTGAAGATGACGAATGAGACTTCATTGAAACATCACCAAGACACTTCCAATTTGATGCGGGAGAAAACCCGAATGACCAAAGACCTACATGCAAACACCCGCGAAAACCTCAGAAAACATGTATGTATGTATGTATGTATACACACATATATATGTATCCACATACATATGTGTGTGTGTTTGTACGTACACACACACACACACACACACACACACACACATAGGCTTTCCACTGCAGTGAGAAAATCTTTCAGTCGTACCCAGCAGCACAAAACTAATGTTTCTTTCTTACTGACCTTTCCAAATCACCCCATTTTTCATTGAATAATATAATACATTCAGCTTTTTTTAAATGCCCGTGTAATAAATTTTCTCAGTTTAAAAGTTGAGCAGGGTTTGGGGTTCCCCCCCCCCCCAAATTTTAGGTGTTCACCTACAGAATTTGAAGCTAAGTCACTTGATTGTGAGATTGATCGGCCGTGTGTAAATTTAATAATTAAATATTAGAGCAGCGAAACCTTTTGCCAAGTTTTTGCGCAATGGTGTAAAAGTGCAGACTCGTATTAAAAATTGCCGGCCTGAGCAGTTTTAAGAATTTCCCCCTTCGGAGATAACTGGACTTGAATGGATTAGGTGTGATTGGCTTTCAGGGATAACGAAACTATTAAGAGAGCGCAGTTATTGCAGAGAAAGCTTGGTGAGAAATTTACTATCAAAGCAGTGCCACAGTAGAATTTGTGATGGCTGCACTAATAATACTTCTGTCTCCCTTTCCTCTTCTGTTGATTTTGATTTTCCCAGGCCTGACCTTCTCCTGCTTGATGGTAAGTCTTTTCTGGACGTATGCAGACGGAAGGTAAGGGGTGTAAACCCCCCTCAAAGAATTATCCAGGGAATACTGATGCAATCTTTTTCCCATCCCCTGGTGGGTTGCTGGTTTCCCCATTGTTCCGAGCCAGTGTTTCCAAATGGCTGTTATTTAGAATTCTGGGATGAAGTCCACGCACTTCCAACATTTGGAAGCTCCCTAGACTGGAAAACTTTGCTACAAAGTTTTGGCAACTGTATGAATATGACCTACCAGGATTTGTGGCTACTTTTCTTGCAGTTGGCAGTTGTCAGAGTTATATGGTTTTCTGACAGTTGGCAATTGTCAGAGTTATAGGGTATCTCTGTCACAAGCTGGGCAAAAATGTTAAGCCTCTATTGTAAGGGATAACTTTGAAGATTTAATGAATTAATCAGAAAAGAGGTGAAAGGGACTTTGAAGGCCTTCTAGTCCAACCCCCTGCTCAAGCAGGAGACCCTATACCATTTCAGACAGGTGGCTGTCCAGTCTCTTCTTAAAAACCTCCAGTGATGAAGCACCCACAACTTCTGGAGGCAAGCTGTTCCACAGGTTAATTGTCCTCGCTGTCAGGAAGTTTCTCTTGAATTCCAGGTTGCTTCTCTGCTTGATTGGTTTCCACCCATTGTTTCCTGTCCTGCCCTCAGGTGCTTTGGAGAATAGGGTGACCCCCTTTGTGGCAGCTTCTCAAACACTGAAATATTGCTATCATGTCCCACCTAGTCCTTCTTCTCATTTAAGCCTTGCTGAGGCACCCGTGTAACAAAGTAACCCGCCACCCCAAAATCAACTTAAATTGGGAAAAAAAGGGGGGGTTAAAGAGAAAAAATGGATTCCTAAGTCTTTGCAAGATTTTAGGCCCCCATTTCATCAGGTAAAGCCTTATCAACGTCCACCAGAAAGTGTTAGCTCTCCTTAAACTATTTCACAAGGGTTACATAGGAGCTGTGTTAAATTAACTCATTTTCTTTGTTTGGTTTTAATCCTGTTCCGGCCATATTAGAACTATTCTTCGTGCTGTTTAATTCAAAATTTGGCCATTGCATCATGAACATTTACCATTTGGTTAGTGACCGTTGGAAGTTACAACGGCACTGAAAAAGTGACTTATGCCCCTTTTTCGCACTTAAGAACCATTGCAGCATTCCCCACGGTCACGTGATCAAGATCCCTTAAATACGAGCCAGCAGTGGGCAATCACTTAAATAGGAGCCAGCCGTGTGCTGCAGCTGCCAAAAAGGCCAACACAGTGCTAGGCTGCATTCACAGAGGGATAGAATGCAAAGTGTTAATACCACTTTACAATGCCTTGGTAAGGCCACACTTGGAATACGGCATCCAGTTTTGGTCACCACGATGTAAAAAAGATGTTGAGACTCTAGAAAGAGTGCAGAGAAGAGCAACAAAGATGATTAGGGGACTGGAGGCTAAAACATACAAGGAACAGTTGCTGGAATAGGGTATGTCTAGTTTAATGAAGAGAAGGACGAAGGGGGACATGATAGCAGCCTTCCAGTATCTCAGGGGTTGCCCCAAAGAAGAGGGAGTCAAGCTATTCTCCAAAGCGCCTGAAGGCAGGACAAGAAGCAACGGATGGAAACTAACCAAGGAGAGAAGCAACCTAGAACTAAGGAGAAACTTCCTGACAGTGAGAACAATTAACCAGTGGAACAACCTGCCTCCAGAAGTGGTGAATGCTCCAACACTGGACGTTTTTAAGAAGAGACTGGACAGCCATTTGTCCAAAATGGTATAGGGTTTCCTGCCTGAACAGGGGGTTGGACTAGATGACCTCCAAGGTCCCTTCCAACTTTATTATTATTATTATTATTATTATTATTATTATTACATTCCCGCGCTTGGCAACTGACTCACATTTATGACGGTTGCAGTGTCCTGGGGTCACGCAATCCCCTTTTGCAAAGACAATGATACACCTCTGGCAGGAAAAGGTTGTAAAATGGGGCCAAAGTCACTTAACAACTGTCTTGCTCAGCAAGGGAAACTTTGGGCTCGATTGTGGTCGTAATTTTGAGGATTACCCATATCTCTTTCCCTGTGAATTTGTGCCCAAAGGCACTGTGTGCTTAACGGCCTTCTTTTAATTCGCTTCCAGAGCCAACCAACATGCTGGATGTGAAGGCAATCATTTGGCTGGAAAACTATTTGCAGGTCTGTCCAAAATTTGGAATATAAGTACTTCTGTTTCTACTGGACTTTGTGCTTGTGGTGGAAAAGCAAAATGAAGCTTTGATTTTTGGGCTTTACTGATTAGATTGATTTGTTGTTATAGAAATGGCTAGTTGATTACCATTATGGAAAAGTGAAAAGTTGAGGTTCGACATTAATGCTTTATTCTACTGCAGTGTTTCCCAAACGTGACAATTTTAAGGCATGAGGACTTCAACTCCCAGAATTCCACAGCCAGCAACACTGGCTGTGGAATTCTGGGAGTTGAAGTCCACATGCCTTAAAATTGTCAAGTTTGGGAAACACTGTTCTACTGCAATAGAGGGAGTCGGAAATCAGTGCTTTTGCTTTCCCCCCCTCCTCCTCACTTCCCCTTTTTCCTCCCCACTGTGTCCTACTCTTTGCTTTTGTATTTTTGTATTTTATTCTATAATTTAATAAAACGTTACAAACTGCAAAATTTGGAAAGCCATCCAGGGTGGAGGGGGGACGACAAGGGAATAAGCAGTTAAAGAGCTTGGGACTTTGAGATCTGGCCGAGGCCTTCATCCTGCCCCCTCTTCATCTGGGCCCTTCTAGACTTGGCAGTCCACCATCCTCGTCGTGTCTCACGATCGGAACTTCTTAAACGCCGTGGCCACCGATGTCATCCACCTGCACACGCAGCGGCTTGACTGCTACCGTGGGGACTTTGAGAACTTTGTCAAGATCAAGGAAGAACGGCTGAAAAACCAGCAGCGTGAATTCGAGGCGCAGCAACAATACCGGGACCATATCCAGGTCAGAGAGCGGAGCGGTTCGCCATGGGGCGGATGCTGATCCAGCAGTGCCCTATAAAATATGATAGAATGCATGCTATATGATGTGATATATTGTATATGAGCGATGGTATGGTGTATGGCAGGGCTTTTCAACCTTTTCACCCATTGTACCACTTTTGGGATATGGCAATATCCGAGTACCACCAGTCGCCTAGCAAGGTATCAAAAACTTTTTGACCCCCCCCCCAAAAAAAAGGAAAAATGTGATAAAGTACAGGTAGTCCTCGACTTACGTTCGCTTAGTGACTGTTCGAAGTTACAATGGCACTGAAAAAAGTGCCCCCCAAGCCACAGCCGAGCAAGACACCTGCCTGCCCATCCAGCGGCGCTCTTCCTCCTGTCCGAGGTTTTCATTGTTGTGAGCATTTCTGTTGAGGATTGGCAGCGGGAGTGAGGTGGGGGGGTGTTTGGTTTTTATTCCCCCGCGTCTGCTGGGTGGTTGCAGCAGGTTTTGGTCACTTCACATGACCCTGGGACACTGACCATCGTAAATATGAATCAGTTGCCAAGCATCTGAATGTAAATCACGAGACCCTGGAGAGGCTGCAACATCCCAGCTCATTGACGCTTCTTCTGGGCTCAGCAGAAGCACCAGGATCAGTGCTGCTTTCCAGCTGATTGGTGCTTCTTCTGGGCTCAGCAGAAGTGCCAGGATCAGCACCGAGGTCCAGCTGGAGCCTGGAGCTGATCCTGGCGCTTCCGCTGAGCCCTGACAGCCCTGCAGCTCCAGCCGTCTCTCGCTCAGGCTTGTGTGGTGCTGCCACCAGTTCAGCTCATTCCCCTCCCCCGCTACCACTTTTCTAGGATGATCGTGTACCACCTGCCAGGTGCCAATGTACCACAGGTAGTACCTGTACCACTGGTTGAAAAGCCCTGGTGTATGGTATGGTATGAACCATTCTTTAAAATAAGGCTTTTTTTAAGCTGGGTACCAGACAAAAGTGGGACTGCGTCTTCTCAAACGCTTCCCTCTGTGTGGTATTATGTAACCACAAAAGCCAGCTAAATTACTTATTTATTCACTTAAATTTACGAGTCGCCCACCTCGCACGGAGATGCCGCTGGGCAGCTTGCGAACATCGAAACTTTATTAATCTTCTTCCTATTTTCTCCATAACAACAGTCCTGTTTGATGGGTTGGGCCGAGAGAGAATGTCACCCAGCCAGCTTTCATGGCTAAGGCAGGATTTGAACTCACAACTCTCCTGCTTTCTAGTCTGATGCCTTAACCACCGGACCAAACTGGATCTCTTATGGCAAATTAAGTTCTAAGTCTCCATAAGATATTAAAGAGACTTCTGCCATTCTTTTTTCATTCCGTTTCGGCTTTATTCCTAGAGTAGACCAAAATCTTAGATTTTTTTTTCTGCACCCAGGAATAAGAACATTATCAATAATATTTTGAAAATTATAGATACAGAAATATACCTTCTTCAGCCTCCACTGTATATCATCCTAATGCTTTGTTTAGCTGTCAGAAAGAGACGGAATATCTGAATCATTTCTTATTCTTGCTTCAGGGTGTGCAGTTTTGAAAAATCCTTCTGTTCCAAACTTCTGTGGCACACTCACATAAATAAAGTAGCTTGGATCATTGGCTTAAGCTTCATTTTCCAGATTGTCTCCCTGCAGCAGCTGGTACATCCTTCTGCATAAGTCAATCAGCTCTGCTTTTCTCCCACAGGTCTTTATCGATCGATTTCGCTATAATGCAAACAGGGCGTCTCAAGTTCAGAGCAAGCTCAAACTGTTGGAGAAGCTGTGAGTATCCAAAAGAAAATGGAACGTCTGGGTGGATTGCCTAGATCAGGGGTAGGCAACCTTGGCTCTTTTAGGACTCGTGGACTTCAACTCCCAGAATTCCTGAGCCAGCATGGCTCAGCTTGGAAACCTCTCCCTTTCCCCTCAGCATGGCTGGCTCAGGAATTCTGGGAGTTGAAGTCCACGAGTCATAAAAGAGCTAAGGTTGCCTATCCCTGGCCTAGGCCTGTATTTTTCAACCTTGGCCACTCGGAGATGGGTAGACTTCAACTCCCAGAATTCCTGAGCCAGCATGGGGGAACTATGGCCCCTTCATGACTCGTGAACTTCAACTCCCAGAATTCCTGAGCCAGCATGGGGGAACTATGGCCCCTTCATGACTCGTGAACTTCAACTCCCAGAATTCCTGAGCCAACATGGGGGAACTATGGCCCCTTCCTTTAAGAATTGATCATTTCAGACTGAGGAGCTGATTTAGAACAGTTTCTTAAATGGCAGGGCACGGCCTGCTCATGGCATACAGCATTAGTCTCAAAATGTATAAACTACAGTAATATTTTGCACTAATTAGTTCTCATTCTTTGGATATATTTCTTGGATAGGGAAAGATTGCTCCTTGACAAATTTCAGCCCCCAGTTATCTCTCAGTCATTGTATTATCATTAGAGCAATAAACAATGTTATCGACAGTATTAATGCAAAGGCTTTTATCTCTTTAAAGCAGGGCTCTCCAAATTTGGCAACTTTAAGACTTGTGGACTTCAACTCCCAGAATTCCTCAGCCAGTCAGGCTGGTTGGTGAATTCTGGGTGTTAAAGTCCACCAGTCTTAAAGTGGCTGGGGAATTCTGGGAGTTGAAGTCGTTAAGTCTTAAAAGTTGTCGAGTTTGGAGAGTCTTGCTTTAAACCTTACCGTCACTGAAAAATATATCAACGGGGTGTTTGTAGAAATAGAAAAACATGAGCTGCTTGCTTCAGTTTGAGGAAAACCTGATTACGTTCCACCAACCACTGTCGAACGAAAATATATATATATATTTTTTTTGAGGTTTTCGCGGGTGTTTGTATGTAGGTCTTTGGTTATTCGGGTTTCTCCCACGTAAAATTGGAAGTGTCTTGGCGACGTTTCGGCGAAGTCTCATTCGTCATCTTCAGGCTGGTGCTTTTGGCTTCGTGCTTCTAGGAGCACGAAGCCGAAAGCACCAGCCTGAAGATGACGAATGAGACTTCGTCGAAACGTCGCCAAGACACTTCCAATTTTACATGGGAGAAAACCCGAATAACCAAAGACAGACAGACAGACAGACAGACATACATACATACATACATACATACGGATTTCTGATTCAAAAAAACTAGAAATAGCTAATTGGTTGGTTTTAGCCCAATAATTTCTCTTTATATCTGTTCTTCTCGTCTCCACTGTTAGGGGGTTTGAATTTTTTTAAAAAAAAAATTCTAGTCTCCCATAAAAGATGAAATAAAGACCAGCTCAGAGGATCTTATTAAATGGTTTAACTGAACCGAGGGCAATTGGTGAACTCTTTTTTTCTGTTGTTGAAATCTACTACACTTAAAGGACAGAATTAAATAATAATAATAACTTGTGAAGGAAAATAACCAAAATCTAGTGAATATAGTAGTTCTTAAGGGCTCTGTCCGGAGAATTTATCCGCTTCCAAGTGGCTGCTTAGTGGTTGGATATTTGACAACCTATTTTTTACTACAACAAGACTGATTGGTCTCTTTTTTTTCTCTCAGGCCAAAACTGAAGCCAGTGGACAAAGAATCTGAGGTGATAATGAAGTAAGTAAATCATGATGGGCACAAAGAAGCCCAGTTTTTTTAGTTTTTCATAAGAAAAGAAGGGCAGATGTCTTCTTACTCACCTGCCTGCTTTCTCAGACTCAGTACAGATAGTCCTGACTTAGCAACCACTCATTCAACAACAGTTGCTACAGTGCTAAGTGAGTGTTACTTATAACTAGTCTTGAAAGTTCTGGTCATTGCATCATCCTGCAGTCACGTGATCACCATTTGGCTGGGGAATTCTGGGAGTTGAAGTTCCTTGCCTCTTAAAATGACTGAGGCTGAGAAATCCTGCCTTAGGCTCACCCAGCCTCTGCACCTGATTTGCAAGACAGCAGTGGTAAGGTTGGCCTGTCCTGTGTGGATTTTATAAGGATTAAATCAAGCTACTTCATTTTTTAATAAGTCAGCATCCCAGATTTTCTTCATTCAGCAAAGTCTATTTTTCCAAGCCAGTCTCCCATCCAGGTATTGTGGGGCTGTGCAGCTTCAACAAAATAGCAGTGTTATGCACCTTAGGCCATACCTCTAAAAAGATGTGGAAACTCTAGAAAGAGTACAGAGAAGAGCAACAAAGATGATTAGGGGACTGGAGGCTAAAACATGTAAGGAACAGTTGCTGGAATTGGGTCTGTCTAGTTTAATGAAGAGAAGGACGAGGAGGGACAGGATAGTAGTGTTCCAATATCTCAGGGGCTGCCAACAAAGAAGAGGGAGTCAAGCTATTCTCCAGAGCACCTGAAGGCAGGACAAGAAACAAAAAATGGAAACTAACCAAAGAGAGAAGCAACCTAGAACTAAGGAGAAATTTCCTGACAGTTAGAACAATTAACCAGTGGAACAACCTGCCTCCAGAAGCTGTGAATGCTCCAACACTGGAAATTTTTTAAGAGAGTAGACAGCCATTTGCCTGAAATGGTGTATGGTTTTCTGCCTGAGCAGGGGATTGGACTAGATGACCTCCAAGGTCCCTCCCAACCTTATTATTATTATTTCTGCAATGCATACTGATTATTACATTAAAAATAACATTATATAATGCAAGTGCTATGTATTCCTATCACAATGTGTTCTGCACGAGGCAAAATTAATGCAAAGCTGATTCTCCTGATCTAACAGAAGCAGTGAGGGTCCTTTTTGGCCACTTCCATTTTTGCTTATTCCCCTGGCCTTTTTTTTTTTTTTTCCCTGCTTCGTAGATTCCCAGATGGCTTTGAGAAGTTTTCTCCTCCCATCTTACAGCTTGATGAAGTGGACTTTTACTATGAACCCAATAACCATATCTTCTGCTCCCTCTCTGTCTCTGCTGACCTGGACTCTCGCATCTGTGTGGTAAGATGAAATCTTTGGCAAAAAGTTAATTATGTGGAAGTGATAAAGCATTCACTATCATAAACACTGCAAAAATCCAGGAGCTCAGGAATTATTTTGTCTCCGTGGAAAGACCAAGAAAAAAGAAATGCTACAAGTGTTTTTAACAGAAGGGCCTAATGCAGCAGTTCTCAATCTTTGTGTGACGGCGACCCCTGTCACACGGCCGCGCATGCGCGGTGGCGGCCCATGCGCACCGCGCATGCGCAGCGGCGCCCCCTGAGGGGGAAAAATGGCGGATCGCGTTGTTTGACGACCCCCGTAAAATGGTCGTTCGACCCCAAATGGGGTCGTGACCCATAGGTTGAGAACCGCTGGCCTAATGTGATATGGTGACCAGAATTGGCTGCAGTATTCTTGTAAAGGAAGATTTAGGCAAAACAAGTTATGTTTGAATGGTGTGATAAATAAACATCTTCAGAACTTGGTTGGTGTGTGGCAGGTTGATATTCATAGTGTTCATAAAAACGGCAGGTCATGTTTATCGATTTATTTGATTTCTGTCACTGCCCGGATCAGAGAACGACTCTCAGCAGCTCCCAATTGCTTAAAGCTTGGCAGCTCTGCTTGAATCTAAGTAGCTCATCCTCGTTTCTTTAACTGGCCAGTACATTTAGTTTTCCTTCAAAAAAAAGGAAGGCATCAGAGGCTGTGCAGTGTCAATGCATGGCATAGTACTTATCAACAAGTTCTTTAACGTTAGGAAACAGTACCTGGATTTGTTACTGCTTCCTTCTTCCCTTCCTTTCCTTCCGTTACTTGTAAGTAAACTACTTTTCTTTGACTGAAGAGCAGATTGAAAGGGCTATAGCAGTGGTGGCGAACCTATGGCACGGGTGTCAGAGGCGGCACTCAGAGCCCTCTCTGTGGGCACCCGCGCCATCGCCCCAGTCCTAGGCCTTCAGCTGGGTTTTATAAAACCTTTTCGCTTTAGGCCTCCGCCGCCATGTGCAAAAAACAACAACAAAAGGTTCAATCAGTCAGTCAATTTCAACTTCTCGCGGGGACAAAAAAGATCTTGCAAAGTTGGGATTGATTGATTGAACCTTTTAGCCCCACCCAGTCTGCTGTTACCACCATAGCCATGCCCATGCAATGGGCCACACCCACTTGGCACCCGACGATGCATAAGTGGGTTTTGGGTTGCAGTTTGGGCACTCGGTCTCTAAAGCAGTGTTTCTCAACCTTGACCATTTTAAGGCATGTGGACTTCAACTCCCAGAATTCCATAGCCAGCAATGCTGGCTGTGGAATTCTGGGAGTTGAAGTCCACATGCCTTAAAATGGTCAAGGTTGAGAAACGCTGCTCTAAAGGGTTCGCCATCACTGGGCTATAGGTCAATATGCACACATCGGAGTACGATTACGCCTGTTTCTCTGAGTTCTAGAATCCTTAAATAGAGTTTGGGAAAATCTTTTTTGTAATGTGTACGTTGTTTATTCCAAGGTTGGAGAGAACGGAGCCGGCAAATCTACCATGCTGAAGATCCTGATGGGAGACCTGGCCCCTGTGCGAGGGATTAGGCATGCTCACAGGTAGCTTTCAAACCAAATAGGGAACTTCACGGAGATATGGTGGAAGGGGAAGGAGAGTATACGCTGTAGAAAAATGCTGGCTTGTTGCTAAGTAATGCAGCGTACCCTAGATTCCCGAGGCACCGGTGTTGTTTTGTGTTGCTTTCCATGTACTTTTTAAAACTCTGCAAAGGTGGGGAAGCTTTGGCTAACCTGTCAGAATGCTGGACTAGAGCAGGGAATTCACAGGCTAAAGGCCGCATGCGCCCCATTGTGTGCAGCTGTGCTCCACTTTAAAGCACCATCACAGTTCTGGTCAAGACCTATCAGTTCAATAGCTGAACAAAGCTATGTTTTCCTTTATCCTGCGGCTCCTTCCTTCACTAGAGGAGGTGTGTGCTATCCTTAGCTGGGAGATAAAACTCCACTCAGCTGTCACGATCCCGTGCCAGCCTGTGTTCCCAACAGCTGAGTCTGGGGAATCTGAGGAGGAGGTGGAGGATGCATTTGAAGGGTCATCAGGGTCAGAGGGAGGCTCTGGTGAATTACAGGATTCACGGTTTGATGCAGAGCCTGGGCCCTCCAGTCGTATTCCTGATGAAGCTCAGCTGTGTGAGGAGAATGAGTCAGACTCAGAGGACTCACACCTGATGGACATGATGATTGATGCTCGTAGACGCAGGCAATTAGCCAGAGCAGATCAGCAGCAGTCAATACGACAACTCCAGGGGAGGAGGAGAAGGCACTGAGAGGCAACGCCTTGGGACTGCTGTATAAAAAGGGAAGGTGTGGGCGGTGCTGGTTGCTGAAGGCAACCGTTGCAAAGTACTTCACGGGATCATGTTCTGTCCGTATTGCCGGTGACTACTTTTCTGTTTGCATCGTGTTTCGTGTGGACAATTTCCTCCATTTGGATTGTGTTTTGCTGCTTTTGTTTCTGGACTATTTGGCAGGTTTGTTACCCATATCAAAAGGGGTTTGTTTGGTTTTGAGTCTCCAGCCTATTTTCTCAACAGGGGTTTGGTCCTTGTGCCTTTAACAAGGACGGCCATAGGCTGGGATAGAACATCAGCTTCCTATCTCTACCCTTCTTTCCTACATGGCCGTCTGGGAAATTCTGGGAGTTGAAGTCCATCCATCTTAAAATTGCCAAACTGCTGCTCTTAAGGGCTGCAGCACACAAGGCCCTGAGCAGTGCCAGCCTTGTCTCCTGTTCCCCTCCCATGTCGGAGGGAAACTACTGACCTTGAAAAAGACACAGCCCTTTGCTTTTGTCAAGTGATCCTGGGGGGGAAATGTGGATTCCTTGCAGTGTTATAGATTAGATACGATGTCAGCACAACCTGTGCAGGAGAGTCCCTGTTTGGGATTGATCCCGAAATGGTCCACAGCTCTGATAGAACAGCAGTCAGGGATGTGCCTCTTTAAGCAACAGAGGCGAGGATCAGGTTATCCTCCTTATTCTCTCCTTGTCAGGCAGGGAAACACATTTGTCTTGCAAAAGAGTCAGTTGTTCCTTTGGCTAACGTTTTTTCAATAATCCGCCATTTTAAGCTCTGGTTGTAAACAATGGTTTCTTCATGCCTGGCAGAAATCTTAAAATTGGCTATTTCAGCCAGCATCACGTCGATCAGCTGGATTTGGACATTAGTGCCACCGAACTACTAGCAAAAAAGTTTCCAGGTAAGTTGCCACGTGGCCCCTGGCAATTTGTTTGATTTCAGCTCTCGCGGTCTCGTGGCCTTCCTACTTAACGATCGGAAGACCTTAAGACAGCGGTTCTCAACCTGTGGGTCGGGACCCCATTTGGGGTCGAACGACCATTTCACGGGGGTCGCCAAACAACGCAGTCCGCCATTTTTTCCCCCTTTTCCTTAGCTGTGCTACTCCCTTTTCTTCTATTGGCTTTTGAAAGCCAATAGAATAGACTCTCTTGAATAGAGTCTAATTCTATTGGCTTTCGAAAGCCAATAGGAATTGTCCAGGCTGTCTCTGCCCTGCTGAGCCCGCCAAAAGTCCCATTCCGCAAACGGTGCTGCACCAGTTGAGTAGTCCTCCACTTACGACCGGTTAAGTAGTCCTCGACTTACGACCGGTTGGGGGGTCACGGCATTAAAAAGGTTGAGAACCACTGCCTTAAGAGCCCTTTTTCCTGCCCTGCTCTCTTTACTGAACACTGAAGATGGTGACTTGAGTTATAACCTCATGCTAAGACATGGCTTTTATCCTGAGTTTATTGGCAACAGTTCCGGGAACATGTTAAGCCAGCAGCCACGCCTGATGTTATGGCGTTGGTCTTAAGGCACCCATTTTTCCTCTTCCCATCTCTTAACACAGAAAGGGGGGTGGGGGGGTATTACTCTGCTTTTGGCTCATCTATTCTCATTGAGACTGAGAGGCAGAGACAGTGCGCTGCTGGCCTTTATAGGCTCCTGGTCCCATTTTCTGCATCTCCTTGAATAAGCCACAAATCATGGTCTATCAGCCACCCTGGCTGAATTCGTACCACTGTCAATAAATTGGCCCATTAGAGTTTGCAAACCAATAGAGCATATCCATAGCTCAGGGTTGAACCGTGGAGCCTATGGTGAAAACAATAACCTAAACTAGACATTAACAAGGAGAAAATCATGTCCTATCAACACAGGGAGGACAAGCTACTGTATATAAACAGGGAGCAAACCCCACACTCCCCAGCTTTGATGATGCTGCCAAGTCAGGTGACGAAACATCGGTAAGCAAACAGTCAATCTCAGAGAACGCCAAGGTCTCCACAAGGTCTCTAAGCCATGGTGGTGTGGTTTAATGTTAGACCTTTGCGCCTCAGCAGAGCATATTTAAAACAAAATCCCTTCTGTAACTGTATGAATCCAGTTACAAATCAATGTTCAAAATGACGTTTAACCCCCATAAGCCCTTATCAGGATGGCCAGGAGCATCCCCCAGTGTGGCTTTCCATTCGCAACTGGTTATTGGGATAATGAGTTATTGGGATAATGAGATAATTAGTTTAAGGCAGTGGTGGCGAACCTGTGGCACGCGTGCCAGAGGCGGCACTCAGAGCCTTCTCTGTGGGCACGTGCACCGTCGCCCCAACCCCACCTCCCCTGCGGCCTTCTCACCAGTAGGCTCCCCGGAGGAGAGTTGCCCCCAGGTGCGACCCGCGTGGAACAGCGCAGCCAAGGACATGTCAGCCGGGCAGCCGGGACAAGACTCCGCCCTCGCACCCCGTCGCGCGCAGATGATGCTGCGGGGCGCGGGCAGAGGGCATGACCGCCATGGCGCTGCAAGGCCGCCTGGGCGATCTGCTGCAGGCCGTGGAGGCGGTGGGTGGCCCTGCAGGCGGGGCGGGAGCGGGTGGAGTTTTGAGGCAGTCGGTCTCTAAAAGGTTCTCCATCACTGGTTTAAGGCATAAACTTCACACTTCTCGTGATATTCAGGGAAGTCAGAGGAAGAGTACCGTCACCAGCTGGGGTGCTACGGAGTCTCCGGAGAATTGGCCGTCCGCCCTGTCGCCAGCCTATCCGGGGGACAGAAGAGCAGGGTGGCCTTTGCCCAGATGACCATGCCTTGGTAATCCTGCTGGGGTAGTTGGTTTTTTTGTTGTTTTTTTGTTGTTTTTGTTTTGTTTCGTTTTTGGGGGGTTTTTCATTGTTCAATTAGGGGGCGGAGGAGGTGTCCTTAACATGGAGAGGGAACCAGGTCAAATTTGGGACACTCAGCCAACAAATCCACGTTTAGGGCCATTTGCCATCAATGAATGCAATTTATGACTCTCTTTTTTTTTTGGCCAGCATTTATTTCCATTTTCTAGCAAAAAAACCAAAACAAAACCCCACCCATTGTGGACAACGGCTTTGCTTAATGACAGCAGCGTTTGTTTTACAACCGCCACATTTCCTTAACAACCACTGCAAAAAAAAGATAGTAAAATCATGGGCCGATGACCCACTGAAGAACCGACGTGATGATGGTCATAATTCCAGCTTCAGTTAAAGCAGGCTATAAACCAAGAACTACCTGTATTGTAATTGCAATTTTGTTTTTTTCCCTCATAGCCCCAACTTCTATATACTAGATGAGCCAACCAACCACCTGGACATGGAAACCATTGAAGCTCTAGCAAAAGCACTCAACAAATTCCGGGTAAGTCTGCCACGCTAGCTTTGTGTGGCCACTGCAGGTTTAATGGATTCTTTTGTTGCAAAAAAGTAGTTTTAGGGCAGGGGTAGGCAACCTTGGCTCTTTTATGACTCGTGGACTTCAATTCCCAGAATTCCTGAGCCAGCCATGCTGAGGGGAAAGGGAGAGGTTTCCAAGCTGAGCCAGGCTGGCTCAGAAATTCTGGGAGTTGAAGTCCACGAGTCATAAAGGGGCTGTAATTCCTCCATGCTGGCTGAGGAATTCTGGGAGTTGAAGTCCACGAGTCATAAAGGAGCCAAGGTTGCCTACCCCTGATCTATAGCATCTCAGACAAGTGACTGTCTAGCCCAGGGGTAGGCAACTTTTGCTCTTTTATGACTCGTGGACTTACCAAACTAGGTAACGTCATCGGTGTTAACGTTGACAGAGGATGTTGCCTACTTTAAGCAATGAAACCTCTGCAAGAAAACAACTGAACTCAAGAGAGCACCAAGGGATCTTAGCCGTATTAAGAACCAAACAGCAAGAAAGCTGCAGTGAGGGAACAGCCGACCTTGCGACCTAAGCTCTCTCCAGTTGCGATGTGAGGCTCCCTCTCGTTCCAGGGCGGCCTGATCCTGGTTTCGCACGACGAGCGGTTCATCCGGTTGGTGTGCAAGGAGCTGTGGGTGTGCGGCAACGGCACCGTTCAGCGCATCGAGGGCGGTTTCGACGAGTACAGACACATCTTGCAAGAGCAGTTCCGGAAAGAAGGTTTTCTATAAAGCCGCCCAGACTGTGTGCGTGAGCTGGTGGGGAGCAGAACACGCCGTGCAGCAGCCGCCGTCGCTGTCACCGCCGCCCGACGGAGCCGCGGGAGATTCCACTGCCATTGGGCGAATGTCGGCTGTGCCAACTGCCGAGCCGGCTCTCCTTCCCCAAGAAACCAGCATCTGCTGGGGAGAGAGGAGGGAAGTAACCAAGTTGCCGACTCCCCTGCTGGATCTGTACCAAGTCTCTGCTGGGCGGAGACCAAAGGACCGGGAAGGGAGAGGTGGGGGGGGGCGTCCATGGCTGCTTTAGTGGAGGGAGCTGGGGTGGGGAAGAGACATGGCTGCTTCCAAGCTGTTTTGTCTCTCTCCCCCCTGCCTGCTTGTAGAACTGAACCCACCGCCGAGGAACGTTGAGACGGCTTCGGGTGTCAGACGCTGTTCAATGTTGCACGTTGAGTAGCTTCCGGGAACGGGCTGGAGCTGCAAGCCATTTTTTGGAAACTGGATCGGTTCTTTCCTTCCACCCCTGCCTTTTGGGAGGAGGTGTAGCACCGCTCCAGCGAACCAGCCAAGTTCTCTTAAAACAGCTTCTTTTTTCATGGCATAAGCCTTAAATTTCTCCCTTCTTCCCCCCCCCCACCCCAACTCAGATGGTGATGTAGGGGGATAGGAGGCCGTCTTCATTTCTGTTCTCGGACGTGAGCTCGACACGAGGTAAACACGATACGAAAAGCCACACTGTTGTACACCAGGGTACAGGACGGTGGAACTGCGGCAGTTTTCCCCTCCTCTGCCCGAAGGTGGTGGCCTTGGCTGTTCTGTTTGGGGGCTTATAATATCTAAAAAACGGCCCACGTGCCCACCTTAGTCTCCCGAGCCACTAAAGGTCTGACTTCCATGTAGGGCTAAGATCTGTCCCAGCTAACGCACCATGTCTTGATAATAAAACGTACACGTTCAGTCCCCTGTTCATCAGCACTGAAATCGCCCTGTAAATAAAAATGGATCTCTCTGGTCTTGGATCTCATTTATTTTCTTTTTCTTCTTTTTTTAGCAGTTTTACCCTGGGGGGGGGGGAAGTGGCCACAAGAGTGGAGTGCATACAGGTAGACCATGATTTACGACCTCAGTGGAGCCCCAAAATTTTTGTTGCTAAGCGGGACAGTTGTTCAGTGAGTTTTGCCCCATTTGACAACCTTTCTCGCCGCAGTTGTTAAGCTTATAATGGTTGTTAAGTGAATCTGGCTTTGCTTATCGGAAGGTCACAAACGGGGGATCACCTGAGCCCGCGACGCCGCCACCGTCGTAAATAGGACTTGCCAGGCATCAGAATTTGGGTCGCGTGATCATGGGGATGCCGCAGTGGTTGTAAATGTGAAAAACGGTCATAGGTCACTTCAGAGCTGTTCTAATTCCGAATGGTCACGAAAGGAACGGTTGAGAGTCGAGGACGACCTGTTAACACAAAGTCGCAAAGCGCGTTTGCACGGTGGAACTGACGGTCCAGAATCCATCCGGTGTTTGCTAAGCTTCTTGGAAACAGTCCTGAAAAAGTTGAAGAATGCAGGTCGCCCTCGACTTTAACGGCCACAACTGAGCCCCAAATTTACGTTGTTAAGTGAGACGTCTGTTAGGTGAGTGTTGTCCCATTTTAGGACCTTTCTTGCCCTGGTTGTTAAGTGAATCACTGCAATTGATAAGTTAGCAACACGGTTGTTAAGTGCATCTGGCTTCCCCTCCTTGCCTTTGCTAGTCTGAAGGTCGCCAAAGGGGATCCTGGGACACAGCGACGGTCATAAATATGAACCAGTTGCCGAGCATCTGGATTTTTAGGACTTTTTTGCGGCCTACAGCACCATGGTCGTTAAACAGATCCGCAGATGTTAAGTGAACCCATTGTCCCCAATTAGTGTTCTTTGCTGGAAGCCAGAAGTAAACCAACAATTTTTTCCAACAAAAATAAAAGGCAAAATCGCAGCCACCTGACCACCGATGCCGCAAACGGCCATAAATGCAGGTTGCTTGCCAAGCACTCAGAATGCAGTCGCCTGACTAAGGGAAGGGCTCAGCTATTGGGACTTTGAATCCAGTTTGTTAGTACTTTTGGGGGGGTCTGTTGTAACTCTGAACGGTCAATAAATGAACAGGGCTCCCTATACTCATCGAGTGTAAACTGGGCATTAAGAATATTAACAATATTTGCATGTCAAGAAACAAGTCTGAACACTGGCTTGAATGTCTACGTTCACACAAGATAACTCAGCCTGTTGATCAAAGTAAGCCATCTTTTACGTGCACAATAACCTAATCAGGCTTGTTCTCCCAGCCTACTAAGCCACAAAAATTAGTCATGCTTTACTAACCAGAACAGAATAACAGACCTGGAAGAGACCTTGAAGGTCTTCTAGTCCAACCCTCTGCTCAGGCAGGAAACCCTATGCCATTTCAGACGGACCATCATGTGAGCTGGGTCTTTAACCGATCTGGTTAAACACGTTGGATAAAACATCTATAAAGGGATGAAACCCCCCCCAAATAAAATAAACTCCTGCATCAATGGGCCCATGAATGTCTACTTTTTATTAAGGGCCACTTTGATATTTTATTTTGCCCAAATGCTGTTCGCTTGATGAAGAAAGGTGGTCTATAATAATCCCCCAATGATAGTTTGTTTTCCTCACTCTTTATTCTTGCTCAAGTAGACTTTCCATTCTTGACTTTCTGTATATGTTCCTTTCTTTAAAGGCCAATGCAACAGGCCGCCTTCTCTTGGGTTTGTTCCTTTTCAATAAATTATAGCCAATTGTGCACCAACTCATCAGAAGCTTTCAGGGATGCCGATGATATTATATTGTCTTCCTCTTTATTTCTCTAGCTTAGTTTGGGCATCCATGGCCTAAATCAGTGGTTCTCAACCTTTTTAATGCCGCAACCCCCAACCGGTTGTAAGTCAAGGACTAAACAGGTCGTAAGTCAAGGACTACCCAACCAATTGTAAGTTTTCCCTGCCCGGGAGCACCGTGCATGCGTGGTGCTGCCCCCTGCGCCGGCCGAGGCGTAGCTGGCAAGCGGCAGAGATGGAGCAGGCTGACCACCGGCTGGGCCACCAGCTGGCCCAGCCCAAGGGAGGTAAGGCACCCGCCGGAAAAGGGGAAAAAAAATGGTGGATAGCCTTGCTTGGCGACCCCCATGAAATGGTCGATCGACCCCAAATGGGGTCGCGACCCATAGGTTGAGAACCGCTGGCCTAAATGGCAGATAGTTGTACGTTACGCTGTACTGTAGTGAATAGTGATACTTGAGACAAAAGCTTGAGGGGAAGTTGTGCAACATCTGGAATGAGTGCAATTCAAGAGAAGAACTTGGGGGGGGGGTCATGAAGAGGAGTATAGAAAACTGGGCTACTTGAAGACCCAAGACTAAATGAGGAAGGTGCCTGATGATTTATCTATTTAGAAGGTTTATTTATTAAATATACAAGTTCACTCAATTCTATAAGACTCTGGGCAACATATAATAATACCGTTACTCAAAATACTAGTGAAAACACACATCCAGGGTTTGTTGTTGTTGTTAAAGCCATGCAAGACCGCCAAGTAACAAAGTTGACCTTGAAGGAGATTTGCAAACTCTATCAAAGGAACAAGGGAGGAAGCTTATCTTAAATCCACCAAGGGCAGAGACAGCCTTTGTAAGCAGCACAGACACCTCCCTAATTCACCAGAGTAGAAGGAAAAAGGAGGCACACAGCAGAAGCAGACTTCCAAGGTCCCGTAATTATAGCCATTCTCAATCAATGTAATTTCAGCTTTCCTAGGGAGTTGATTTCCTGACCTGTTCTAACTAGTGAGATTGACATATAAAAAAAAGACCCGGTCCTCGATCTAGCCCAGTGGTTCGCAACCTTTTTAATGCCGCGACCCCCAACCGGTTGTAAGTCAAGGACTACTCAACCGGTTGTAAGTTGAGGACTACTCAACTGGTGCAGCACCATTTGCAGAATGGGACTTTTGGCGGGCTCAGGAGGGCGGAGACAGCCTGGACAATTCCTATTGGCTTTTGAAAGCCAATAGAATTAAACTCTATTCAAGAGAGTCTATTCTATTGGCTTTCAAAAGCCAATAGAATAAAAGGAAGTAGCACAGCTAAGGAAAAGGGGAAAAAAATGGTGGACTGCGTTGTTTGGCGACTCCCGTGAAATGGTCGTTCGACCCCAAATGGGGTCCCAACCCACAGGTTGAGAACCACTGGTCTAGCCCAAAGGTAGGCAACCTTGGCAATTTTATGACTCGTGGACTTCAACTCCCAAAATTCCTGAGCCAGCATGGCTCAGCTTGGAAACCTGTCCCTTTCTCCTCAGCATGGCTGGCTCAGGAATTCTGGGAGTTGAAGTCCACGAGTCTTAAAAGAGCCAAGGTTGCCTACCCCTGCCCTAACTGGTGCTCAGCCATGTGAGGATCTGGATTTCAAATTGTGCATAGAGTTTTATTATTTCCTTAAAATTTTATGATAAATTTGCCTATCCCTCTAGGAATAGAAGGGGCCCATACTGTGCTGGCTGGGTTATCCAGTATACCTTCTAGGCCAGGGATAGGCAACCTTGGCTCTTTTATGACTGATGGACTTCAACTCCCAGAATTCCTGAGCCAGCCATGCTGAGGGGAAAGGGAGAGGTTTCTAAGCTGAGCCATGCTGGCTCAGGAATTCTGGGAGTTGAAGTCCACAAGTCATGAAGGGGCCATAGTTCCCCCATGCTGGCTGAGGAATTCTGGGAGTTGAAGTCCATAAGTCATGAAGGGGCCATAGTTCCCCCATGCTGGCTCAGGAATTCTGGGAGTTGAAGCCCACCAGTCATAAAAGAGCTAAGGTTGCCTAGCCCATGCACTGAAGGACAAGCCAGGATTCCAAGACTCTTTTAACACTCTGGAAACACAAACGGATCTCTGGGGGATCAAAGGGACAGGCTTTGTGACAGAGAAGGCCTGCTTCCTGGATCCCATCAGATGACACAGCGGATGGGAACCAGAGCATGCCAACTCTGCCTGATCGGGCAGCATGCTCATGGGCCACGGAACGAACATAACGTTGAAAAAGCGTGAACAAAAAGTTTACATTTAAAATGTATTATGAAAGATTCAGAATGATTAGTGAAGGGGGATACGAAAGGACGCTCTCAAGAGGGACACATGATTTGGGGGAAGTGTCAAGAGTACACCTTGGAAGTTAACAAAGAAAGCTAAATAGAAAGTTCTAGCACAGCGGGTGGAATTGAAAAGAAAGATTTGGATGGGATGCTGTACAGGGTATATTAGTTCTGTATGAGAAAGATGGTGCCACTGAAGCAGCTAAGTGGTTAAGGCAGGGGCCTTCAAACGTGGCCCTTTTATGACTAGTGGACTTCAACTCCCAGAATTCCTCAGCCAGGCACACATGCCTGGCTGAGGAATTCTGGGAGTTGAAGTCCACCAGTCATAAAAGGGACAAGTTTGAAGACCCCAGGGTTAAGGCATCAAGCTAGATAGCAGGAGACTGTGAGTTCTAGTTCCACTCTTGCAATGAAAGCTGGCCGGATGACTTTGGACCAATCACCAGGAGACTGTGAGTTCTAGTCCTGCCTTGGACATTTGAAAGCCAGCTGGATGACTGGAGCAGTCTCTCTCAGTCTGACCCACCTAAGAGGGTTGTTGTTGTGAGAAGAATAGGAGGAAAAAATATTAGATATGTTCACCATCTTGAACATTATTTTTTTAAAAATAATATAAAGGCAGGATATAAATAAACAACGTTCCAGGAAAAAAAATGGATGGAAAGGAAGACCTAAGTGTTGTTAACATGTTGTACCATTACTAGTAACATGTTACATGTTGCAATATGCTTCAGAGATGGAATGTAGCCGAAGAAATGTTAAAATACAGATGTGGTTTGCATATAGAGTTCTGCGTGAATACTACATCTAGGGTGTGTGCGTATGTATGTATGTATGTATGTATGTATGCATGTATGTATGTATGTATATGTATTGCTGGG